GGGGGGGGGGGGGGGCCTGCGGTTTTCACAGTTTTCCTACTGTAGCGTTTTTTCCTTCATTTCCTATGCTTTCCCTATTTTATCACTATTTTTCATCTATTCTATTTCTATTGTTTACCTATTCTCATATTCCCTGCGCACCTGGAGTTCCTGTATTTTTTCCTATTGTTCTCCTAAATCGTGGTTTTGGAGGTTCTCTAGGACTAGCACGGTTGAGTCGGACAAAGTATGTCAGTGTAGAGGCACGAAGGGCTCAGCAGCACCCTTTCCTTTACCCTTAACCCAAAATACCACATCCACGGACACAGACGCGAAGCATTCCAAACAAACCATCTGCAGAGGAACGGTCAACATAGCATACGGCAGGGGGATTGCCCTTGGTGCCGCCGCCCGGGGTCCACACTTTTCCGACGAAGAGCCCCCGTCCAAAAGAGAGTGCTAGGCTCCGCGGGGCAAGACTGGAGCTATTATTCGACTCCCATGCAGACACTCATTTCTAAACCATAAGCCACAATCCCTAAACCCAAACCCAAAGCCCTGCTACACGCCCTGCTATGCAGGAGCCACGAATGAAGCACCTCCTGGCTGCGGCAGTGGCGCACAGTGCCGTTTACTTCAGAGGGACCGTGTCGTTTCGGCTGCAGGAGAACCGGATGATGCAACCCGGCGTGCGATTTGTCACGGCTGGTACATGTGTCTGAAGAACCATAGTAACAGTATCTTCTCAGGGTCCATACGTAACTAACCATCAGGCCACCAAAAATCGCAGATACTCGCAGCCTTTTTCCATTAGTATGCCCCTGTATTACTGACACTAGAAGTAAACCCTAAACCCTAAACCCGAAGTGGCAAGAGTGTGGCATGCCCAGATGACGTAGGGGGCGGGTAGCGCACCTTGAGCCTCTTGGGGCATATAGCCCTTGAATTAGGGATTTAGGGTTTAGGGTTTAGGGTTTAGGCTTCCCAGCTGAGTCGGAGCAGAGCCTGGGTTCAAAAAAAGAGTTTAGGGTTAGGGTTTAGGTTGTAGAGGTTGCTCTTTGTTGGACAAGCTGGGGTTCAGAAAGGCTTTGTTCAAACTGGTGCGTTTTTTTTCGGAAGCGCGAGAACAGGGGACCTTAACAATATCGGGTCTTGGGGGTCGAGCCTGGTTTAACATAAGTAACATTTTACAAACCCTAGACGGTTTAGGGTTTAGGGCTTAGGACCCTAAACCCTAGACCCTCAACCATAAAACCAACAAATACCTGCTTAGTTTCGGCCTTCACGACCCTGCACCGTTTTCACGACTCCTTCGTTCTGGGCCGCGCGGTCTATACAAGGGGCCGACTCAACGGACTATACACTCCCAAAGTCTTTTGCCGGCCTCGACAAATGGAGGTTTCTGAAAATTAGGGGCTTTGCCCTGGCGGTGCTCGGAATAGGAGCTGATTTGTTTGTGGTCTTAAAAGGTTATCTTTCAGTGCCTGAACCTCGAGCCGCGAGCATCAGGGGTCGCACGTCTAAGCCACAAGCCCACCCGGCGAGCGAAGGCAGGTGCAGCTACTCGATGCTGCAGAGATCCAGGACGTGGAGAATGCTGCTTGGCATGGCCACTGGCGTTGGAACGGTAGGATTTAGGAGCAAGGGACCTACATAGACTTTGAGTGGTAGTACTACGTTCAGGAGAACGCATCTTCTGGTCAATAAATTAGGCTCCCGCAGCAGGCCTTTTTGTAACTAAAGACGTTTGTGCAATCCAGGGTCAAGGTAGGGTTTTCTGTTCAAGGTGATAGAGATTACAAGTCCCTAAACCTCAAACCCTATAAACCCCAAGCCCTGATTGCTTACAGACTGGAGGGTGTCATGGGCAAACCCCAAAGCGTTCGCATATGTAGACCGAAAAGAAGCATTCACTGAGACTAAACAAAGAGCTGGACACCGGACCTAATATAGGGGTCTAAATAATTACCTGTACTATTTCGGGTGTTCCCTATTATAACTATATAATATAAAGGACCCCAAAACCCCGATATCAAATCCCCAAACCCCATTAGATGCAACTTCATGCGAGAGGGAAAAATTAGATGCAACCAACGAGCACAAGGAAATGCAATGGGGTTTAGGGTTCAGGGTCAGACGATGTCTCCCGGCATCTTGAAGCAAGAGTGTATTGCCAGGGGGTCGGAGGTTTCAATAGCATCGGTCAATTTAGCTTTGCACGCTCGCCACAATGTCCCCGCTGCATGGAGGATTTTGATACCGGCCTGGAGATTTGGTAATATGCCCACGCTTATTTTAACCCCCACGAAGTTATCGCATTATTATGTCGCATACCTCAAAACCCCAGTCATAATCAAGCCGTCAAGGCCACTGTAGTTTGTTTGAGGTCTCATGGCTGTATTTTCGAGACTCCAATACCCCTTAATTAAGGAATATACCTTAAATTATTATAGAAAGATTCCTAATATGATTTCAGGTGTATTCCTTAATTAAGGGGTATTGGAGTCTTTGGGACCGGCTTAGGGCCCGGAGGGTCGAAAAAACAACCATGGTAAATTTAACAAGCTCTCGTGGGTCCGAAGGATTGTATTGAAAGTTTATACTTGGAGGGTCGGGGGACTTAGTAAGTAGTTATTTAATGGAGTTATAAGTATTATAACCCCAATAAGGATCCCTTTTAAGGTACTTATACAAGTCTACGTACTACCCACTTACTCAGTCCCCCGACCCTCCAAGTAAGCATTCGGGCCGGGTCGCCAGTTACATGGTGTCAGTGTTTGGGAGGTTTAGGGTTTAGGGTTTAGGGTTTAGGGTTTAGGGTTTTGGCTTGATGCCCAAGGCAAACAGCACCGCTTCGATGATGCTTCGAGACAAGGAGTACGCAGACCAGCGCCGATGGATCAAAATCACGAGGCCCCTAAACCCTAAACCCTTAACCCTAAACCCTAAACCTTAAACCCTAAACCTTAAACCCTAAACCCTAAACCCTAAAATCGACCGGGTTCTTGGCTCGTGGTGCCCCAGGCCTGCACACTTTTCTAAGCCGACCTCGGGTTTTCAGTTCAGGGCTTACCTTAACCCCAAATAACCTACCTTTTTAAGGATTTGTATAAAGAAACCATAATAAGGAGCCCGAAAAAGGTAGGTTCTTCAGGGTCCAAGTAGGGCTTAGGGACCCTAAAACCTCTAAACCAGAACACCCCAAACCCTAAACTCTACAGAGCACCCTCAACCCTAAACCCTCAACCCTGAACCCTGAACCCTAAACCCTGAACCCTCAACCCTGAACCCTAAACCCTGAACCCTAAACCCTCAACCCTGAACACTGAACCCTAAAATCCCGACCAACCTCGAGCCTTAAAGAAGCAATCATAGCAAGAATACTGTTCCTCTTAAAAGGGGATAGAGGGGCCTAGCCCTAAAGGTTGATTTAGGGTCTACTTGGAGGCCCAGAGGACTTAGTAAGTCGTAGGGTTATAATTGGGGTAGCTACAGTTAGGGTACTTATAACTCTACTTAAACCTACTGACTAAGTCCCCTGGGCCTCCAAGGCCTTTTCAAGGGATCCTATAAGGGTTATACTATGAGGGTTTAGTTTAGGGGTCTTAATAATTAGAATAGGGGTTTTGGGGCCCATTATACTATACTTATGAGAAGGGAACCCCCAAAACCCGATTCTTTTTAGTAAGGCCCCGACATTATTTCGGTGGGCTTAGATGGAGGATGGTGATTACCAATACGGTTGATGTTATAAATCCTGCAATACCCATAATAAGGAATATGCCATGTTTCCCATAGTATAGGGCCCTTACAAGGTAATGCAGGATTCATATCATCAACAGTATTACT